GTGTCAGAGGCGGTGCGGTTGGCACAGGATAGAGCAGGGTTTAGGGCTGTTGTGCATAGGGTTGCTATGAGTCGGAAACGACTCGACGGCACATAACAACAACAACAACATGTATCCACAAGCTGGACAATGACTAAGGATGGCAGAAGAAGAATCAATGCTTTTGAGTAGTGGTGCTGGAGAAGAGTATTGAACATACCTAGACTCCCAAGAGAACTAACAGTTTTGGCCTGGAGAGGGTGAAACCAGGCTTCCCCTTGGAGGCAATGACTTTGGAACTCCATCTCACATATTTTGGGCATGTTGTCAGGAGGGGACTGCCCTTGAAGAAAGACATCATGCCTTGGAAGGGTAGAAGGTCAACATCAGAAATGAAGACCCTGAATGAGATGGATTGACACAGTGGCTGTGTCTATGGGGTCATATGTGTTGGAGATGGAGCAGCTGGCTCTGGATAAGGCAAGGTTCATGGGGTCGCTATGGATCGTTGTCAACTCAAGGGCACGTAACAGCAATAACAACGTGGATGGCTTGAATGCTCTATTTTCAGTGCTTTTGAAGTGATTATCATGTCTAGAAACACCTTTTCTGGGCAATCTGGGTCCTGTGGTCTGGGGATAAGGTGCCCTCTGCTTTATCATTGAATCCAAACCACGTGAAAGAGTCACAAACAGAAAAGACTCTTCTTTCAGTCATTGTACATTCAGAATGGGAATCTGGTTAGGCTGCCTTAGATTGAGTGAACATGGCTGCTTCCAGGGGAAAGAGTTGGGGGAGATGCTATGTAAGGAAAGGAAGAATAAAAGGTGGCAATCTCATTGTAATCCAGGGCAGACAATGTAGTCAATCCTTAAGGGGAAGACTTCTCATTTCATCCTGGGGTACCAGGATCCCTGACCATCTTCCCCAATCCACATTGAAGGTGAGGCCATCTGGTAACATGGAGGAGTTGAGATCCCAGCATGCCTAACCATCTTCCCCAACCCACACCCAAGGTGAGGTCATTCAGGAACAGGAGGATATGGCATGGAGGAGTTGAGGTTAGCTCCACATATAGCAAAACATCTCTAACATTTTCAAGGCTCGTGTAGGGGTGGTGGCTGTCTGAGTTAGGCAATGAGAAGGTTGTGTGTATCTGATTACCTGGAAGCACAGGGGTAAGCAGAGATTGGCTAACCAGGAAGGCAATCACAACAGAGTAGACAAAGGAGGAGTGATACAGCAAGCAATGGTAGTGAGTATCTCTACAGATAAGAAAACTAAGACAAAAAGCTTCACAACTGGGCTAATTACCAACATCATGCTAAATGTGAAAGGGTTGTCAAGAATTTAATTTTTCTTGGGTCCACATCAATGCCCCTGGAAAATGCAGTTGAAAGATCAAATGAAGTATTATGTTGAGCAAATCTGCTATCACCTTCATCCTTCTCTCATACACCACTGCCTCTTCCTTCCCTTTGTTCAAAATACCCCTTTGGACTTTGTTACTTTATATTCCAGCATTTTAATGCTGTTAGCCTCCTTATGATGTCCACTGGGATCAATGATTCACATTTCACACATGTTTGTTAGTGAGCTATCTCATATTTTGGTAGTGCTCAGTTGGGACTGAAAGTGGTAGTTCTGTGCAGCCGGGGTCAATGCATATCGGCTCTTATCACTTGTTTAGCAAACTCTTTTCTTGGCAATTCAAGGCTAATATCAGCTAGTAGATGAGGTTTTTATTAATACCAAATTCAAGTAAATTTTCTTATGATAGCTTTAAAAAAATTGCAAACCTTCCTCCTATACAAATATTTCCTCACCAACATTGCAAAAAAGGAATTTTTATATTTCAGTTCAAAATCTACATATAGTCAGTTTGATTGACTTGCCCAGTCCAGGACGTTTGTTCCAGAGAAAAGTAGTCAGACTAGCTGTTTATAGACATCTTTTTAATGTTTTACTTTAAAACAAATAATCTCAGCAAAAGAGCAAAGGAAATTACATTTTAACCATAGCTTGAAATGGATATTATATTCCTGACTTTTTTTTTTCAGGAAACAGATATTTGCATTGTCATACATTACATTTAGAATTGCTCACTTAAATGCACATAATTATATTAAATTAAGTTTCTCTTACAAAAACACAATCATGTAATTTAAGGCAAAAAAATAAAAATAATCAAACAAAAAACATCAGCTTCTGTGGAGCTAAGCTAATATTTGTGACATTTCCACATTCTGATTGGATGAAATGACTCATTAACTCAGTTGGCTAGGTTTTTATCATTCCTTATATTTTTGCTTCTTGAATGGGCAGAATTAGTTACATTGTGCCTAATTTTCTCCTCTCCATTAGTCTTGTTTTACCTGCCAATTAGGAAATATCAAAATTATTGAGTTAATGGGAGGTGAGACAAGGCACCTTTGAACAGTAAATAAATACATAAAAACTCAAGAAAGTGGCTTACTTTAAATAAAACTTGAGCTAATTTCATCGAACAAAATGCAAACATTTAGATCAGATACAGCAAACCATTTTCACTGATCTCATACAAGGGATGTTTGAGATTATGAATTAGCTTGATCAACCCAACATGTTGAAAAAGGCAGACAGATTTGAACTGAAAGCACATGGCCACCCAGTGCTCTGCTAATTATAATTCAAGATACCATTGGGGATTGACCAATGGACTTTTGCCAAGTAAGACACCTCTCATCTTGAGAAACACAGCAGACAGAACCCAACAGTTTTGATACCTTATTACTATCTTTTAACATTCAAGAATTGTTGTGTTAGAGAAAGATAGACACAAAATGGCTTCAGTATATAAAAGTTCTTCACAACATGATTTACCACATTTGCTATGATTAAGACTGCAGTGATGTGTTTAGGTTTAGTTTTAAAACTCTTCAGTCCTCAGTAGTTCTGGACAGACTGCCTGTATTTGAGGTCTGAAGAGGGCTAACGAGGGGTCCCCAGTACATTCAGAATTCCTGCTGCCAGTGGGGCTCGACCCAGGATATGTGTCCAACAATCAGTGCTAACTGAACATTGATGTCTCCTTCTCCCTCCACTAACTTGGCGAGAGCCTATGGTAGGTATCTGGCTTTAGGTCAGCGGCAGTGCGCACACGTATGTGTATTGTGTGTGTGTGTACATGTATGTGTTTGTGTGTACAATGCTTGTACAATCTCCATGGGAAGTTATATTGCAACTTCTATATGAGTAGACACACAAGATCGTGTTTAATAACTTACAATAATTTAATAAATTTCCACATTTGGGAAAAGGAAATGATTGTTTTAAAAACTTGACAATCTTTTAATTAGGATTTTAAAGGAAGAGAAGGAAAATTGAGATAAAATTCCCTTCTTAAAAAAAGCTAGAAAATTTCTGTGAAAAATTTCCATGAAATTATTAAAAGCTTGGAAAAAATATCTTTTTTTTAATTGGAGTGTAAAATTTAGACTGCCTTCTGTCTCTCCAGCAGCCACTGAAGATTCTGAGTAATATACATTCTGAGGAATGTGTTAGGGTGCAAATGGAGGGGGAAAGAAGAAACTTTTAAGATGTTAGTGCTTATCAAAAAGGAAAGAAAGATGTTTAACAGTGAGAAGCACATCTTGGGTAGAGAAGAAAAATTATCTACTTGGGGATGGAGGCTCTTTAATGTCTAGTGATGTTCACAATCCTAACAGTGGTAGGGAACCAATTAATTAAGTGAATGGACTCAGTCTCATAAGGACAAAAGCCGCGTGAGATCATTACCGTGGAATGAGTACGACGAGGATCCAAGGTGGGGAGGGAGTTTTATCATAGAGTCACACAACTTGATGGGTGGAGGGAGGGATGAGTAAATGAAAGGAGAAATATCTGGTGTGGAAAAACAATGTATATGAATTTTATAAACTTTGCATGTAAACAAATATAAAATTGAAAAAGAAAGAAAGAAAAAGTAGAAAATTCAATGGTAGAGAAAGTATGTTGGAGTTAAAACTTGGAGAGAATCCTTTTGAATAATCTCCTTCCTCTCTTGAATAACCAGCTGGTATCCCTGTTTCCCTCATTGGTTGCTAGAGAAGTTTTTGGAAGGCAGCACTAACATCTCGCTTTCTTATAAATGGTATTAGCTGAACTGATATAATACCTTTTTCTCCTTGTCTTGAGAATGCCATTACTATGATGTTTTGGTGATCTGAGAAAGCTTGTTTGGTTTCTAAAAATTGATTTCAATATTGCTTGCTTTCTGGTAAATGTGTTTTTCATTTTGTTTTCTTTCCCTTGGTCTTTTTGGCTGCCTTGCCATGTTACTAAAGGTATTGATTTGCAGACCCTGCTGGTATTACCTGGCTGAGAAATTTCAGATTTGGGGTAACAGTTTTGGGGAGAATAGAAAATGTTCACTACAGTATAAAAAAACAAAGAACATTTACCTTTACCCTTTCATATGCAAAATGTACTACATAATAGCAAAAGACATTCAAGGGGCATATTAAAAATAAATAGCTTTCAAAATTCTATGTTTTATAGAAGAATAAGGGATAATTAGGTAGTTGGATTTCCTAGCAATATTTATCTTCAAAAAAATTTCATTCTTCTGTTTGGGTTTGTTTCTTCTTCCTCACTGGCCAATGAAGGGGGAGCAATATTTATTTATTTTTTTATTCCTGGTGTTGTTTTTGTATTGCTCAAGTCTTTTCCCATCTCAGTCCCATTCAAAGTTCCCAGGCTCCTGTCCTATATGTCAACTTAATGAGCATAGTTTCTCAAGATCCCCCTGGGATTGGCACCAGACCCGAGAGGTTAAGGGATCAGCCCAACTGTACTGGCTGCTTATTTATCAATGGTTCATCTACTTGTGTAGAAGTTGGCCACTTAGAAAGTTGATCCAGCCACCAGGGACTATGTTACTATAAAGTCACACATGTGAAATTGTTTATTTGACCCACTGGCCCTGAATACCATTACCTGCACATTTTCTAACTGAAGAACATCCTTATCTTAAAGAACAATATGAAAATGATGTGCAAAACGGCTTGCCACAGCGCTGAATCACCAAAAGCACACAAATTGACATTCAAATCACATTAATGATAAAACGACTGAATAGAAAGGAGTTGCCAAATAGATCTTGAAATATGCAGCCATTTCTGTTACTCCTGAATTCTGCTTTGCTTGGTACCTTGCTAGCAGCTGCTGATAGCCATCACATTTTAACTGACATTATGGCCTAATTTTGAAAATCTTTTTTGTAGTTAACCACAAAGCAGAAATGCTTTGAAGACACTGACATCCAGATTTTCCAAACACAGTGTCAAATCTTTTAAACGACCTCATCTTGGCATTTTCATACCCTCCTTAGCATCAGCAGTGTTCGGTTTCTTGGATTTTTTTTTAAAACTCAAGGTACGTTGCTAAATGAGTAGGTTAATGTGGATGTACCTTGGAATTCAGCCACCCTTAAACATGCATTTTCATGCAATTAAAAGATAACAGGCTTTTACACAGTCTTTCACGTTCTCCCCTGATTTTTGCAGTGTCAGCTTTTTAGAAGGGCTTTCAAAATAGATCATGCAATGATATGTATGGCTAAAGGAACTGCTATGTCTAGAAAGAAAACAGAGAACTTATTTCAGTTTGACATGAGGCAAGCTGAGGGCATCTGTACTTTCTCCCGCCTTACAAATGCTTTGAGATGATCGTGATCTTCCAGTCCTAAGAGAGTCTGAAGCCAAAGCAGCTTCCCTGGCAGGCTGCAGCGCAGCATCAAAAGTGTCTGTCTCAGCCTCCTCGGGACCCACCTCTTCATCAGTTATAAACAATTTGGACTCCCTCCATTTGGGGTAGAAATCTTGGCTGCCTCTGGAGCCACTTGACTCGCTCCCTGAAAGCTGTATATTCAGTTCCTCTGATGACCTGATCAGGTTTTGCACAGACAAGGATTTACCCAAATCCTTTGGCACCATGGGATGGACAGACAGTAGAGTTTCTCCTCCCATGTCAAAGCTTTTCCTCAGAGAACGGTCCTTGGTCAGATTGGACTGTGCAACCTGAACACTGTCCTTGGAGGCAACAAGGCAGGTGGTGACGTCTTGTAAGCTTTCCTGTAATCCTGTGGGGTTCGAGTGCAGGGGTTCTGGCCTGGGCAGATGCTTGATGGCTGGGAGAGGAGGTGGAATCTGTAAAGTTGTTGGGGCTGCTGGCTTGGGTGCCACATTTATTTGGTTTGCAATGTTGTTGTTGGCCACCATGGAGGAGCCATCACTTTGACTCACTGGCACCTGTGTGGCTTGACTGTGCATAGTAGGGCTAAGCGCATAGAAGGTCTGAGTGCTGAACTCATTTGGTGTCAGGATGAACTGCAGGCCCCTCGAGATGTTGGCACTGGCTGATCTAGATAAGCAGCCACTGTTTTGTGTGGAACTGGATAGGTCTTTGCTATCCACAGGGCTCTGATAGTCAGATGTCTGTTCACATTCAAAAGGTGGGATCTGGAAGGAGGCCAAAGTGAGGGCTGAGGCAGAGCCTTTCCGGAGGACCTGCTGATATATGTCCAGCAGGCAGTCCAGTTTGGACTCAATGGACTGTACCTGTAAGGGGGATAAATGATCACAAATAAGTATAACATGTTATTAAAAATGAACTTCACATCAAAACAACTATGAGATATCATCTCACCCAGTCATAATAGCAAAATTTAACAGAACAGCAAGCAACAAATGTTGTGGAGAAACTAGAACACTTATTCACTGCTGGTGGAAGTGCAACCACTGCGGAAGGCGGTATGGCGCTTTCTCAAAAAGTTACAAATAGAGATACCATTCAACCCAGCAATTCCACTACTGGGAATATACCCCAAAGAGACCATAACTGACATCCAAGCAGATATATGCACGTCCATGTTTATCACGGCTTTGCTCACAATAGCAAGGAGTTGGAAACAACCTAAGTGCCCATCAACATACGAATGGATAGAGAAGCTGTGGTATTTTCATACAATAGAATACTATGCTACATTGAAAAATAAGGAACTCATGCAATATTATTCAAAATGGTGACTCTGGAGGACATTATGCTGAATGAAGTATCTCAGTCACAAAAGGACAAATACTGCATGGTGCCACTGTTGTAAAACAGGACTGACCTCGGGCTTTGGGGGAGACTAAGAAAGATGGGTTCAATAAAGTATACTGCTTTGAAACAGATGAGGGAGAAAGGGATATATGATTAGGTATTTTTGTCATGACAGGAGTCCAGAGCGAAGGCTGCATAGTGGAGTGGACCTGGGGGGAGGGATTGTAAAACAATGAAAGATTTTTTCTTTTACTTTTCCAAGTGGGTAGTGTACTAGGTAGGAGGGTTGGGAGGGAAGAAAAGTGCAACAATGAATAATTGGAAATCCAAAGTCACTGTAAATTTTCATTGAAATGAATAATAAATTAAAAAAAAACAAAAAAAATTAAAAAAAGAAAAGTTAAAAAAGAATGTGCAATGTAACAGTGATAGGGTAAAACAAGAATTTACAGAGAAAAGGGATGCTTTGGTACCTACATGGTTATCATTGGCAGTACCACCTTCCAACTCTTTAAAACAGACAACTTGTGTTCTCAAAAAAAATCACATAAGCATTAAACATATGCAACTTTGAGACTCCCCAGGCTAATCAGATTGTCTAACTCATTCTGTTCTGTGAATACACCCTGGACCTGTACTGCACTGTAGAACTGAGCTTATGAGATGAAGCTTTTAAATATCAATCAAAGCGACTATGAATAGAAGAATAAAGGAACAGAATGTTTCAAAATTAATATGTGGAACATTTCTGATTAAATTTGATTTGTAGATTCCTGAAAACTAGTCATTGTGTGTGAAGATACAGTTTTCAGGTTAACAAACATTAAATGTGCCATCATTATTATAATGAGGTTTTGTTCTATTTTTGAAAAGAGGGAACTAAAGAAGTGAAAATAACAAAAATGGAAGTGAAAAAAAAAGTCTTGGTTATTTTACTAATGAAAATCTACAGGTGCTTCCAGTTCAAATACTAACTAATAAGATGAAACTGCTCCTTATGTAAAAATTCAAAGATGCTTAGTAGACAATGTCTACATACAAAACTTTAATTTTATTAATTCTTTCAGAATTATATCAATCCCTTCAATACTTTAAATTGCCTATATACTGATTTTAAAAAAAAATCCTGGCTAAGACGTTAACCCGGGTACTTGAGTGGCACCTGTTTTTCCACCTTGACCACTCGGCCAAGCATGCTGAGGTCATCAGTGGTTTCATGCTCTGCGGTTATTTTGTCTCGGCTCTTCTTGTCTGATGTGATTTGCCCTTTTCCAAGAATTTGATCGACACTATCAGAAAAAAACAAAAAAGGTCTGATTATGAGTGCTGAAGATGGAGATTTGCTTAGACAAGAATGAAATGCTTTGAAAGGAATATATTACAATTATCTTTGATTTACATAAGGTGAAATAAAGATAAACTTTTTGCAGTTGATGTGCTAATTTTTCAACATAAGAATCTTGCACAAAATTGACTTTCTCTTTCTTATTCTGGCACATGAAGAAATCGCTCATAGGTGATCTGTCTTCAGCTGCAAAGGAATATGTTGCCACCTCTGGCCAGGCAGTTCCTGAATTCAAGCACTTCAAAATATGAGGAAATCATACTTTTCATTAATCTGTAGTTTGTTCTGTTATTCAGTGAGTACAGCTTCACGGAACAGTGTACATTTCATGAGCTGGAAGTCAAGCTTTGTTTTATGAATTCTGTAGTAGTTCAAAGACACTTCCTTTAAGGACTTAAAGATCAAGGTCTCCTATATAAAGGTTTTAATATGAACACAGGATGGAAAAAGATCATTTTCAGGGAGATTTAATCAATTTAAATGACAATTATATACTTTTTTAAAGTATGCGCGTGTTAGAACTGAATTATTAAAGTTATTGATCCATATTTCTAGTTTACATTCTGTATAGAAATACATGCCGAGCCCTCCTATTGCTGTGACATCTAATCTATTAAGCTTCTGTATAAGGACTGCATGTCCACAGTGTCTGGTATACATAACAGGATTAGAGTTACCTTTTGAATAAGTGAGTAAATGAAAATTTCTATAAATGTTCAACAAGTTTTTCTATTAAAAATCCAGAAAGGGTCTCACCATGGGCTATATGCCTTTGTTGTGGACCATAAAGTAGGAACAGACTCATAGCTGACCCTCCAGTGGATTTTCAGAGGCAGTAGATTATGTGGGAAGAGATTGACCAGACTCGAACTGCTTGCCTTTGGGTTGGCACTGCAACTCCTTACCACTAAGCCACCAGAACTTTTTAAGTGTCTGTGTTGTTGTGTACCATTGAGTTGTAACCAACTCATAGCTCACCCTCCAGATTTTCAGAGGCAGGAAATCTCATGGGAGGAGATTGTCTATCTTTTTCCCATGAAGTGTCTGAAGGGATATAAAAATATTTAAGAGACACTTCCTACCAAAAAATCAACCCAACCCAACCCAACCCAACCCTCCAGCTTCATTGCCTTTGGGGAGAGTCTGTCCTTCCAGGACAGAGCAGAATTACCCCTAGGGTTTCCAAGGCTTATTTACAGAAGCAGACAGACTCAACTTCCTCCTCAGAGCAGCTGGTGAGTTTCAACTGCTGACTTTCTGGACAACGATCCAATTCTTTAACTGTTGTGCCACCAGTGCTCCAAGTCTCCTTATCTCACTTATAAAGTATTAATAAATTTTAAAATGTAGATAAATATGTGACTGTTAAGAATCAAAGCTCTTAAAATCTGAATTGACACATAATTTGGTGCTGATATAACACATTCAACCATACGTGATTAGAAGTAACATCTCAGTTCATTTCTTTTAATTACTCAAGATGAGTATGGGAAAGACTGTATATTTAGCATTATAGCCTAACCTAGCTTAACCTCACTTACTCTAACCTAACTCTAGTTTTCACACATGATCCTGTAACTTGCTGCTTTGTTGGTTCATGGAGACTGGAGTATGTTACAATAGATGTGTGCTCCATAAGATTTCAATGACTGATTTTTCTGTTGTAGATTGCTAGGCTTTCTTTCTGAGGTGCCTGTGAATAGACTTGAACCTCCAACTTTTCAAAGAGTAGTCGAGCATTTGCACAGTTTAAGTCTATCTAGTAGGGAGTTCAGTTGGCCTAGTGGTAAAATGCTATGCTGCAATCCCAAAGACATGCTGTCCAAATCTGCCAGCTGCTCCACAGGAGAAAGATAGGAGATCTTCTTCCATGTGAATTATGTGCCTCTGAACTTGCTGGAGGGTCGGCTATGAGTTGGTTCCAACTCGATGGCAAACAACAACAACAGCAACAACAAACCACAAAAACCATCACCACCAAATATCATGTAGGACAGAGAATCCCCCAAAATACCCCCAAAACAAATAAAAGGCAAGAATGCAATTTGAATACACTTGTTTCTCTGATCCAGCATGCCAAAATAAAAGTATTTCATTTTCTGAAAATCCGATAAAAATTACACCCTAAATCAGTTGCTGTGGAATCAGCTATGACTAAATGCGATGATTCCATTGGCTTCAGAGTTGAACTGGGCTCCTTAGGGTTTTCACGGCTGTGGCCTTTTGGAAGATCTCCAGGCTTTTCTTCTGAGGCACTTCTGATAGTAGCAGGGTACTCAATCATTTGTGTTACCTGAAAACTATTTCTGGGATCTGTTGTTGATGTTGTTAGTTGCCAGTGGGTTGATTCAAACTCACAGTGATCTGCAGAGTTTATCTTTCAATGTGACTTTTCCTAACCATTTTTTTGCTATGTGAATGGACAAATATGCAAATAGTGTATGTTAACCTATCCACAAAGGTTTGGCTATTTACATACCACAAGGGAATTGGTTAAGTCTCAACAATCTACAAAGGGCTTAGGGGTTGGCTATTCTCATCATTGAATTGAGCAAGTAAGCAGCACAGTGAGAGGCAGACAGATGTGGCACCAGTGAACAAGAAGCAAGAGAATGTAGGACACTCTTCTTGCTCTATATCCACCTAGGGCAGCAACATCTATGGCTGAACTAGAGACATGACTGGAGGCCTGAGATGGAACCTTAGTGGAGGAAAGCCAATATTGGCAGGACTGAGAGCTTTGTTGGACAATTGGGAGTGGGAAACCAATATTGGCAGGAGTGAGAATTTGGGAACACTGAACAAAAGCTACAAGGTTCAAGACTGAGATGCCTTTGTGCACATTCAGGGAGCTGTCTTGACTGTATTCTGTTAATAAACTGGACTATAACCTTTTGACTTCTCCAATATGGTTCTGTGTGGCCTGTGAGCTATCACATTGGATTCTGGACCCAGCAGAGCAGTAAGATTGGGATGAGAAGAAAGAGGCACGTCTCTAACCTCATGGGAATTGGTTTTGTGATACTGATGCTGTGGACTAGGACAGATCCTCTTTGTGAATTTAATAAAAGACAGATGTGGCCATCCCCAGGCAGCCCATGCTTTTTTAACATGATAATAAGTGACAGGTTAATAAAAATCACAAAAAGAGTGCATCAAGGATGCATCCTGTCTTCATACCTTTTCAATCTATATGCAAAGCAGATCATTTGAGAGGCTGGACTTTGTGAAGAGGAATGTGGCATCAGGATTGGAGGAAGACATTTGCAGAGGGTCTGCAATATGGATTGAAGCTCAATATCAAGAAAATGAAGATTTTCACCACCGAGTCAATTTGAAGATGACAGATAAAGAAGATTAACATTGCTAACAATTTCAGCTTGCTTGATCCCACAATCAACACTCTTAGTACCAGAGACCAAGAAATCAAAAGACAAACTGCATTAGGAAAATCTGCTCTCAGGGACATCTCCAGAGTGCTGCAGAGCAAAACTGTCAGTCTAGAGACTAAGGTGTACCCAATTCAGGCCATGGTCTTTGCAATTACTTGTTATGCATCAAAGAGCTAGATAATGACCAAAGAGAACAGAAGTAGAACTGATGCCTTTGAGTTGTGGTGCTGGAGAAGAGTATTGAATATGGACGGTCAAAAGAACTAACAGGTCTGTTCTGGAGAGGGTGAAGCCAATCTGTTCCTTGGAGGCAAGGATTTTTAGACTCCATCTCACATAATTTGGGCATGTTATCAGAAAGGATCAGTCCTTGGAGAAGAGTATCATGCCTGGAAGGGTGGAGAGACAGCGGTGGAGAAGACCCCAGATGAGATGGATTGCCACAGTAACTGGAGGTGGGAGGTGGGGGGCGGGTAGGTGTGTCAGAAACAGTGAGATTAGGTCAGGATAGAGCAAGGATCGGAGCTACTGTGCTTAGGGTCACCATGCATCATGGTTGACTCAACGGCACATAACAACAAACAACAATAACAACATGACAGAGCAGAACTGCTTCATAGAGTTTGTTAGGCTGTAAAATTTATGATATCCGATTGCTATGCCTTTTCTCATGTGGTGTGGCTGGTGGTTTTGAACTCTTAACCATTCTATTAGCAGCAAAGTGCTTAACCATTGTACAGCCAGGACTACTTCTTATGCCCTGTAAATGAAATATCACACAGACAGGTTGATTGTGACTCATAGATACCCCCTCATATCAGGTTTCTGAGGCTATAACTTTTAACAGGAGGAAATTTCCCATCTTTTTCCTATTGATGGGTTCAAGATGTTGGAGTGTGGCCTTTTTGTGGGCATCACAACATGCTTGAGACTACACAACTGTAGAAATATGGTCAAAGGAAGGCAAGGCCTGATGTGGACCAAATAGTCAGGTTAAGTTTTATGGAGGAAAAAGAGCTTATTTCTAAAGAACAGTTAGGATTTAAATCACAGCAAAAACAGTAAAAGGAGCATTAGCAGCAGGAATGATGACATTAGCAACAACCATTAATATTTATTGAGTATGTCAGATTACAATGTATTCTAAGTTACATATGTTAACTTATTTAATTCTCATGGCAACATTATGAAACAAGCACTAAATAAGTTGGGAGGGTTGCTTTGTTGTTTGTTGGGTTTTTTCTTTTTTTCTCAAACACATGAAGAAATGGAATACTGTTCATAGTCAGGAGCTCTTAGTACCTGATTCCCACCCTTAAATAAAAATCAATATTAAAAGAAAAAGTACAGTTATCCACCAAAAATGTTGAACTATGAAATTCTGAAACTTTCTCTAAAACAGAGAAATTCCTCCTACATAATTTCTATGTCCATTTCATCACAAAGAATAACATTTTATCACTTACCGTGTTTGAAGGCTTTTAATTCTACACAGCATGTCCAGATGGCCTGCAGAATACTGTTCAATGACATCTTTTACATCATATGGGCGTAATGTTTCTTTAAACTTCCGCTTTGCAACATGAAATTTCATAATTCTGGAAAAATCAACGGAGTAACATGTATCTATCTAATGTCATTAAATACACTGTTGTTGTTAAGTGCTGCTGAGTTGGAACTGATTCATAGCTGACCTCCCAGTGGGTTTTCAGAGGCTGTAAATCACATGCGAGCAGGTGGTGGATTTGACCTACCTGTTCTTGGGTTGGTGGCAAAAGTCACTAGGCACTAGGTCACTAGAGCTTCCTCCTCAAAGTAATAACTTGTGAAAATACAAGAAATTCTGGAGGAAAAAGTCATACATCAAATTGTTTTATGCCTTTATAGATGCAACCCACAATTTTGGTACATAATTTAAGAAAACATTTTATAAGACCCACCTTGAGAACAGAAAAGAACACTTAAAAAAAGAGATTAAATACTAAGTATTGTACCCTTCTAATGTTCACTGAAACTGTAAATTAAAGTAAAAAATAGTATTCTACATTTTGTATGTAATGCTGAGAACTCCAAGTTATAATTTTTAATGATAACAAAAAAATGAAACAAGACAAAAATTCCTCAAATCTGTTGCTGTGAAGTAGGTATCAATTCATCCATTTAAAAGCTAAATGATATTGAAATCGTTTTTAGTGATGTTATGTGCTGTTGAGTTGCCTGTGACTCAAAGTGACACTATGTACAACAGCTCATAACCATGTCCTGTCCTGAGCCAGACTCACTGACTCTCACACACTAACCCCTGTTGCCCTAGTTACTGTATCAATCTGTCTTAGCTGAGGTCTTCTTCTCTTGCACTGTCCCTCCACCCTTCTGAGCATGATAGACTTCTCCAAGAATCAATCCCTCCTGGTCATGAGCCCAAGGTATGTGAGGCAGAGCTTTAAATTCCTATTCTTCAAGGAGAAACTTGGTTTCACCATTCCAAGACAGAACTATTTGTTTTCTTGGTATGTTCAAGCTATTTTTCACAACTCAAAGGCATCAATTCTTCCTCTTTCATCCACACCATTATTCAGCTCTCTGATGCATAGCAAGTAACTGCAAAGACCATGGCCTGGATCAAGTGCACCTTAGTCTCTAGACTGACATTGCTGCTTTTCAGTACTCTGGAGAGGTCCCTGACAGAAGATTTTCCCAGTGCAATTTGTCCTTTGTCTGCTGATACCAAAGGAGTTGATTGTGGAGCTGAGTAAGCTGAACTTGTTGAAAATCTCAATCTCTTCTCCATTTATCATGGTTCTGCCAATTGGCCCAGTATTGAGAGTCTGTCTTCTTAATATTGAGCTTCAATCCACATTGAAGTCCTTAACCTTCTGCATCAAGTACTTCAGGTCCTCCTCAGTTTCAGCTAGCAAGGTTGTGTCATTTCCATAATGTAGGTTGTTGAGTGTAACTATGTGAATTTTAAAGAAGCAGATGTTTATGAAACTTTATTTTTCTAAAGGTCTATATACATTTGTGTATGATTTACGAAAAACTTTTACAGAAATTTCTGCAGTGCATTATTTGATTAGCTAAACGAGTAGCTTTTGTTTTAAACACACACTGACACATTGACTAAGATTAGGTGCCTAAATTTTTCAAATCAGCTATCTCTCTCATTACAATGTCTCCACCAATATAGACTTCAGTATTTCACCCGTAAGTTCCATGATGCCATCTACAGTCAATCTACCCATGATATTCAGTTGCTTGATTCCTGATGAAAGCAAAGAAGTATAACATTTAAATGAACTTATTCAGCTTTATTGCAAGTAAATATTATACTGTTTTTCAACTAAGTGGCTTTAGTTTTCAAATATTAATGACTTCCATTGCCACATTGATGGATTATACAGTGTGGGACCCATTTACTGTTCCTTGGTGGAAAGTGGAAAAAAGTTCAACCTACACGGAAGACACTGACAAAGAACAAGGCTTCAGGAGTTGATGGAATACCAATTAAAGTGCTTCAGAAAACATATAATGCTGGACATGCTCAATGACGTCTGCCAAAAAATAGGGAAGCTAATTCTCTGACCAAATGACTGGAAGAGATCCACATTTGTTTCCATTCTCAAAAAAGGTGATCTACAGAGAGCTCTGGTGGTCTAGTGGCAAGAAGCTGCACTGCACTCCCAGAGGTGCACAGTTTGAATCCACCAGATGTTCTGCTGGTGAAGGAGGGAAATCTCCTCCTGTACCAGTTAGATCTGATTTGATGGTAAACACACACAAAATAATAATAAAAAATTAATTAAAAAATCAATTAGAAAATATTAATTAAAAAAAGAGATAGCGGACTATCTCTGGATACATATATTTTGTGAATGAAGAGAACTAGAAATGATTTAGTCTGTCCTTAAGGTTTTATAGTTTAAATAGAACATTTTAATTCTATTAAAAAAAGTGATCCAACATAATGTGGAAATGATCAAACAAAATGACTAATATTGAATGCAATTAAAATTACGCTGAAGATTTTTTTTTAAAAAGCAGCTGGAACAGTACATAGAGAACTGTGAGAAATTCAAGCTGGATTTAGAAGAGGCTATGGTACCAGGGATATCATTGCTGATGTCAAGTGAATCCTAATTGAAAGTAGAGTACCAGAAGTATGTTTATTCAACTATGCAACAACATTTGACTTTGTAGATAACATATTATGGCTAATACTGAAGAGTAGGAATCCCAGAACACTTACTCTCTTAACAGACCAAGAAGCTCTCATGAATAGAGCAAGGACACAGCATGATTTAAACTCAAGAAAGCTATGCACTAGGGCTGTATGCTTTATTCATACCTATTCAACTGTACGTGAGAAAAGGATTTAAAAAGCTGGACTATGTGAAGATGAATGTGGCATCAGCATTTGAGAAAGACTAATTAATTAATAGCCCGTAATATGAAAATGACACTATCTTACTTGCAGAAAGTGAAAAACATCTGAAGCATTTACTGCAGAAGACCAAGACTTCTCTATGGACTATATCTCAACATCAACAAAATAAAACCCTCATCACTGTACCAACAGGCAATATTATGGGGGAAACAGAAAAGAATGAAGTTGCCAATAATTTAATTTTATTTGGATACACCAACACTATCCATGGTGATAGCAAATAAAACTTCACAGAGGAAGACCATTCAGATGGCCAGTTGACACAAGAAGAAATGCTCAAAATCACTAGCAGTAAGAGATGTAAATCAAAACTAGAATGAAATAGCATCTTACCCAAGTAACAGTGGCAAAATTTAGCAAGACAGCAAGGAATAAATGTTGGAGTGGATTTGGAAAGGTGGGAACTCTCATACACTGTTGGTGGT